AAAGAAGGTGAGGCCTCCCATAGGGAATCATAAATTGGCATAATTTTCTAAATGTGTGGTTGAGATTAATAGAGTAGGAGATGATTCACTTTGAAAAGATAGACATTAATTTTTTCTTTAAATTGATTGACTCTGTGTGTCATATGCCCCCTTTCTCTCTCTCTCTAACTCTCTCTCTCTCTCTCTCTCTCTCTCTCTCTCTCTCTCTCTCTGTGTGTGTGTGTGTGTGTGTGTGTGTGTGTGTGTGTGTACATGACTGTCTGCATGTGGAGAATAAACAGGACTTGCATGCGCTACTATGACTTTGTACTTTATTCCCTTGGGATAAAGTCTGTTGCTGAACATGTAGGTAGACTGGTGGCCAAAAAGCCCCAGGGAGTCTCTAGAAAGGAGTATCTGGTCCACTGTTGTCTGCTCTTCTGCAGTTTAGTTTTAGATAAGCTTGATTTGAGGCACTTATGGCATATTTTGGGGGTGTCAACTAAGACACTGGTCCACTGACATTTAACCTAGTTTTATTAATCAGAAACTTAAAGTAAACTTGCCTTTTTGAAGACATTGCTTTGAGAGCTTTACAACAAAACTTTGAGTAAGTATGATTACCCCTATTTTATACATTTTTGATAATTGCTATAGTTATCTTTTATGGGATCTGATAAGAATCTATGATGTGGTTGATTTAATTCAATCATGCAAGAGAAATGCAATTATCTTGTATTTATTCTATGATTTATTTACTTTTTGTGTGTACAAGTGTTGACCTACATATTTTTATGTGTATCAGATATAATGATCATGTATGGCCAGAAGGCAGCAAGTTCCCTAGAACTGGAGATACAGATGCTTATGAGTTACCATATGAGTGCTGGGAAGCAAACCCCATTCCTTTAGTAGAGCAATAATTGATAGCCTTGTGTCTTTATTTTACATAGTAGCAAATGCTGATTTGGTGTCTGTGTATTCTGCCTGCATCATGTATCTTTTTCTTTTCTTCAGAAACTGCTGATTGACCTTTTAATCAGAACAATGAAGGGATACACTCTGTCCCTAGGAGTGATGACAGAACATCATTTTGTAGCAGGACTGGGATTTACAGGTTGGAAAAAGGAATTTGAGGAATGAGAAGATTCCTTCTGTAGGTCAGTTCTGCCAAAGTCTCAAAGTGGTAAATACAATGGAGGTTGGTATATTTGAAGGGACAGTAGCGCACTCAACAGAGCATGTGGCTCTGCAGGCCTCGTCCTTCTTCCCCATTCTATCTGTCTTGCTAAAAAGTGTTCCTAAAGCTAGCCACCAAGGTCCATATCCTTATTTGGTCATTTCCTCTTCCGGAGGCTGACTAACAAAGTCCAGCAATCAGAAGCCCCCTCTGGTTCAACTAATTAACATACTCAACTAAAATTAAATACCTCATCCTAACACGGGGTTTCCCCTTTACCTTTATAAACCACCATTTGCCTATGTGTCATATCTATCTGGTTATTCTCTATCTCATGTCTGTCTGGTTCTTCTCTATCTGGAGGCAGCCCTTTGTTCCTCCAGGACAAGTACTCTTTTCTCCTTTCCTTTGTCCCCTTCCCCTTCTTCCTCAACCCATATCTCCTTTACCACTACCACATAGACCATTCTAACACAGATCTTCTCCTCTTAAAATGTAACCCTCAAAGTCATTTACTGGTGTTATCTGCCTGACTCAGAAAGCAGCCACTTTAAGTTTTCTTCCCTGCTTAATAAAGGATTTCTGTGGAAACAGATGCTTGGGTGGGCTTTGTGCTTAATCCAGGGTCCAGGAGGTAGTCCCTACTGTACAGGAGTCTCCTTCAATATTTATCTTATCAGAAGTTTCTAGGACCAAAAATGATCCAGGAGAAATCACATAGCTTTCTAAGCATAAGCATTCTAAATATGAGTTTCTATAGGGAGAAAGAAAGAGAAAAAAAAAAAGAGAGAAAATGTTTTCAGTTTTACAGGTCAGAATGTAAGATTTGGAAAACAAAGTCATTTGAGAATTGTCACCTAATCATAAGTCATGAGCCATAGACCTGACCTGAGGATATGTAATTCTGATCCCTTCTGCTCTACTCATGGTGTTTCCCCAGAACCTTTCAATTAGCTTCCTATGTGGGCATTTCTTCACCGGCAGTGTCACATGTAGAATTATGTACTGTTCTCTGACATTCATATGTTGAAGTCTTCATCTCCCATTGCCTCATCCTGTGACTTCGATTTAATGAGATAATTAAAATAATGTTCTATGGTTCTGCCTTAGTACAGTATAAGCAATATTACTTTTAAAACTGCACTTGCGGCATGCAGCAGGTGGCCATGTTGGAGTGGTGGAGGCAGCACAGAGGTGCGTCCTGGGTCCCGGCGGCGGGCTGGTTTGTGGATACCAAGGCAGATCTGCAGTGCCTGATGCCATAAGCATGGTAGTGCACCATGTGGAGGAGAAAGCTGTACACTCCTGGTCACGAATTTCCACAGCAGGGAAGAAAGCCCTGAAAGAGCCACTGCTTGTGTTTAATCCTAGGAGCCAGGATCTCAGTGCCACAGAAGCCCAGCTTGTGGCCTTCCTACAGGGCCTGCGAGATGATGGCTTCCAGGGGACCATTCTGTGAAGTGGTGATGTCTATGGCTTTAGTTCATGCACAGCCACCGCCCCCCAGCCAGACAAAGCTACAAGCTCGTAACACCAACCCATCTGCCACATCTCTTCCATCCAGGGCTCCCCAAAGTGCTGTGTTGCAACCTGCAATCCAGCCACACTGCTCCCGTGCCACTGTTTGGCAGGCTGACTAAGGGGTCCACACCGGCCCTCGCCAAGCATGCTACCACTAACTTGCTGCTGAGCTCTCTGAAGCAATCAAATGCCAGCCACACCAGTGGTACAACAGTAGGCTTCCCTGCCCACCTCTACCCAGGTGTCTACCCTGACATACGACTGTCTGTGGTCCTTGAAGCACTGGTTCCACTCAAGATTCCTTGCTTGGGTATTAAGAACAGGGCACAATCACTGCTGCTGTCACTTGCAAACTCTACCCTGAAACTGAGAAAGGTTCGGGGAACCCACAGTCCAAAGCATCCCAGAAAATAACAAGCAAAGGCATCAAATGCCTGAGTAGGAAAGGCCCTGGGGCTGATCAACAAGGCACTGGGCCCCGGAGCAGTGGCCTACGTGTGAAAGGGTACTCTGCCTTGGGCACCAAAACAGTGCGGGCCAAGGCATCTCGAACACTGACCAAAGCTGCTCATGCCCACGCCAGCCTAACTCGAACCCAGAACAAGTCAGTAAGGGTCAGGGCCAAGACAACAAAGACCAAGCCCAGGGCAACAGGAGCCAAATCCAAGGCCACTGTAGTAAGGGACAAGGCTAAAGCCAAGGTGGTCAAGGACAAGCCAAGGCCAAAGCAGCTCAGACCAAGTACAAGGGAAGGCCAAAAGGATCTGTTCAGAACAGAACTGGAAGGACAAGCCTGAAAAGTGGCTCTGAGTCTGTGGGGAAGAAGAGGAAGAAGGCTGAGGAGGTAAAGGGTCTTCCTCCTAAGAAGAGAGCACAGTTTGTGCTCCAGTCTTCTAAGGCAAGGCTGCGGCCTAGAGCAAAACCACGAAAGTCCCAGACTATAATGGAGCACAGAAAATTCTCAGAAGATGAGGTTCTACAGTGGGCCCAGCAGATCCTCCGTGTGAACCTCTCTCCAGTAGTATGGCTCCAGCCATTGCTACCATCTTGATTCCATACTCAGCATCCTGAGTCATCCTTGGCAGCAGTGCTTGGGAAAACAGTTGGGCTGTCCATGTGACCAGTATCACAGTGTGCTATGCTCGTGGACTCTGCAGCTTTCCAGACTCTGGGTACCTCCAGGACCCCTGTGGTCACCATCCTCTTTTCAGAAGCTGAGGATTTGGGGTTGGGTGGGTAGCGGTCTGGGTGTTCTCATGGCTCAATATACTGTGACTTGTTCTTCTAGTTGTACATCCAATGTTCCATCTATCATGTTTTATATCTTTCCACAAAAAAAAAAGAAGCAGGGGGCCGGGCATTGGTGGCACACACCTTTAATCCCAGCACTCAGGAAGCAGAGACAGGTGGATCTCTGTGAGTTAGAGGCCAGCCTGGTCTCTAGAGCGAGTGCCAGGATAGGCTCCAAAGCTACACAGAGAAACCCTGCCTCGAAAAACAAAACAAAACAAAAAGAAGCAGGGCCTGGGGAGACATGTCAGTAAAGTGTTTTATGTGCCAGAAGACCTGCAGACTGCTAGCACCCTCATAAAAACTGGATGCTTTGCATGTACCTCTAACTCCTGCACTGAGGTAGGGGCAGAGAAGACTAGATCTCAGGAACTCACTGGCCACTCAGTCTAGTCAATGAATGAGCAGTCAATTAGAGACCCTGGCTCCAAAATTGCAGTGGGGTCTTCTGAGTTTTACCCTCAGCTCACTAGCCAACTCTTATTCTTGGGAATGCATTCCCCTTTGTAATAAACTGTGTCTGTTCCTTTCTCTAACAGTAATAATAATAGTTATAATTAATAATTAATAGTAGCAGAAGAATGGAGACAAACAAGGAAGTCATCCAACAGTGAACTCTGGTACACACACACACACACACACACACACACACACACACACACTTGCAAGTGTACACAGAGAGTACACACACATGAAGTATTCATCCCCCCCATGAATAAGCAGGTACACATACACAGGTGCGTACACATATACCCAACCAAGAAAAGATCAGGACACAGACACACCCCACAACATCATTTTTCTGGCTTCCACCCTTCAGAATTGTGAGAAAATAAGTTTCTGTAGTTTGTAACACCCAGTGCAGTACTGTGCCGTCAGATACCTAGAAGTCTAGCTTGACCACTAGTGAAAACAAAACAGGAATGTGGACGTTGCTCCAGGCACATATACTGGCTTCATGAGTATCTGGTTACTTTCTGCGTTCCCCAAGCCCAGAGGTCAGATGACTTCCTGGGATGAAAGCCAGCTTCCTCTTGCTGTTCCTCCACAGGCTGGTCGGCAAACGCCTTCTTCCTGTTCTTTCCTTAGTCTTCTATCTAGCCTCCTGAGATAGGGTAGATACATTCTAGAGAAAGAAAGAAAAAAAAAAAAAAGTGAGAATGCTAAGGTTGCCACTCTCACTTCCTCTCACCCTTAGCCCAGAACATTTTTTAATATAGTTCTTTCAGAGGGGCACCCGCCCAGAGAGAAGAGGCCGGTGCCCCAGGGACTCTGCCTTGCCAACGGCTACAGTTAGTTCATCATGCTTTCTCACGGCCTCGGCTGGTTGCAGAAAATGCCAGGATGATGCCTTCTTTCTGCCTGGCTGGGACACTGATGATGGCATTGTTCCTCTCCTCCCTGAGACCTGAAAGCTTGGATCCCTGTGTGGAGGTATGTGTCTCGACCAGCTCCTTTCCTGTTAGCCTCCCTTGTTTCTCAAAACTCTCCCTATGTCGGAGCTTCCTGCTGTGTGTTCTGATTTGTTTATTTTGCACACAGGAGTTAAACTAACCAAAAACTTGAGAAGCTGTGAGGACAAAGAGACTCTGTGTTAGCAGGGCAGCAACAGGCAGCCAGTCAGTGTCTTGTTCTGTTTAGACTTCCGAGCCATGATTATTAAAGACTTGAAATTAGTAAAACTAAGGATATTGTTTCTGTGACTTGGCTGAGTGACAGCCAAGAAGTTACTGAACCTTTCTGAGGCCAGTTTTCACACTGTAAAAGAATTACAGTGCTCACAGGGGGATTGGAGAAGGCTAGTAATAGCAGGCCTTTCTGTTGGTACTGTGGACACTCAGCTTTCAGAAGTCATTCCTTTCCTTTCCTACTCAGGTAAAGGTGGCTGTCATTTCTGTCTCTTAAGTAGCATCTGTGTATGATGGAGTGGTCGATCAGCAGGTTCAGTCAGTTGCTGACAAGCCTGACTACCTGAGTCAATCTTCAAGCCCCACATGGTGGAAGCAGAGAATCTACTTCATTCTCTGAGTTCCAAGTGTCTGCCCTGACAGTTGTGTGCATGCATGAAAGTGGACACACACACACACACACACACACACACACACACACGCGCGCACGCACGCACGCACGCACGCACGCACGCACGCGCACACACACACATGTTAATAACTGTAATTTTTTTCCAAATGAAAGAATTTTCTGAGAATTTTAAATTCTACCACTAATTTTAGAAAATAATGAAATGGGAGGGAGGGAAGGGGAAAGACAAACGGGAGGAAGATAAAGACAGAGAGACAGAGAATGAGATAGACAGAGACAACAGAAAGAGGCAGAGAACAATGTAAAACATCAGCTAAGGCAGTAATTCCCTTCTTGGTGAAACAATGACTAGTGAGTAATATGATTCATGACTAATTCTTATTTTCTCACTGCACAGACCACACAATTATCTCAGAAGCTCACAATAGAGCTGAACAAACAGGGAAATAATTTAGGGCGAGGCAGGCTCAGAAGCTCAAGACAGGTATTACAAGTTGGAGTCACGGTGTTGACCTGGAAAAAATATTATAGCATAACAAAGACTAACTCCTTGCTATCTCGGTATCTTGTCTTCTGATTCCTTAGTTATGCTGACAGAGATAGAGTTTCCAATCAGTTTCATACTGAGAAAAAATCCTGTGGTATATACTGTACTCTGGAAACCCCCATAGTCAGCCTGTTTCTTCCATAAGCTCATGTCTCAGTTCCATGGGCCTTGTCTCCAGGGATTATGACTGGTTCCCTAATTTGCTGTCCTTTCTGTAACCACACTTTCATCTCTATTTGTTTTCACCGGGCCAGAGGACTGGATTTATCAAATTACTCCTTTACCATTTTTAATAACTCTTTAGTGCCTCCAAGGCTGTTTTTCCTACAGAGTAGTTTCACTGCTTGTCCTACCCACACAACCCCTCCCCTAGATCAGAGCTGTCTTATGATAAAATTTTGGGATCTGCTTATATAGTTTAAAATGTTCCTGGTGGTCAAACTGAAAAAAAATGAGTGAAGTTATTTTTAGTGATATATATTATATAATCAAATATAGTCCAACTATTAAGAAGATAGTTTATGTTCCATTTTTGCTACAGAATATTAGAAAGTCAGCAATATTTTATGTTTACTACAAAATTTGATTTATACTACACACATGGTTCATGTTCAACAGTTGTCTGTGACATATAGCCACAGACAGAATGTAGGACTTTGATTTCAGGATTTAATGTTTCACTTTCACTTTATGTAGATCTCTGTAAAAGGGTCTCCCCAGGGTGTTTTTTCTTGATTCCCAGATGGAGATATCTGCCTTTGGCCTCTTTGTGTGTGTTTTCATTGATCATATCATATCATATTTTTGTCTGTTTTTAATTAGTTATCCTTCCTTTTCTGCTGGGTTTATCAATATGCCACCAGTGTCTAGATCATAGTAGGTCTTTAGTTTGTATGCAAATGAAAGAATGACTGCTGGACAATGTCTGATGCTCTTGTGTTCAGGTTGTAGCTACCCATAACTTAAGGCTCTCCTCCCTTGCCTGTTGCTAGCCAATTCATCTGAATTTGTTCCTACCCTTTACTTGCTTATGTTCTTTTCTTCTTATGATTTACATTTCTTCCCTTTTCCACATGTCAGATACTGCTCACCTTCCATGTTCTGGGTCTACAATCAGTCTCTATTACCTGTGAACCAGGCTTGCTTTGTAGGTTTTAGTCCCTTTCCTTCTCTTCTAACTGATGTTGAGTTCGATGACAACTGGAATTGTACAGCATTTATTTTTGTACTGCTCATGGCCCTTAGCAGAAAAAGCCTACCATTTGGTTTACATGGACCTCTGTTCACCAGGTATAGAATTTTCTATCATTCACTCATGCAACAAATAGCTAATGGGCATTGACAGGTCACCTTGCAACTTTCTGAGCCTTGGAGACAATGTACCAAACAAAATCATCAGAGCATCAAAGCTCATAATCCAGTTCATCAAATGAACGACATTTGGAAAATAATTATATAAGCAACACAAAGTTGCTCTGTGATTGAAACCTATGAAGGAAATAAAAGAGGGCAAGTGAAGAATTTCTTCCTGACACCTTATTCTATTAGAAGCACTCTCTTTAAGGATACTATGGTAAGTATCGTGTAAGCAGACAAATGTGAACATACATGGATAAATCCTTTATGTGCATTACCCCATCTTCTCATTTTTCCATCTTTAAAAGATGTTTTGAAGATTAACATAAAATACATAACATGTAAGTAAATTGTTGATATACAGCAAGGGATTAATAATAGCCAATGATAATTAACATTAATATTCATCACTTTAATTATAGCAAGCTTTGAGATAAGATCTGATCTCATTTAATCCTTTGAGAATTCTATTTCTTTTAAATAAGAGAAAGCAAAACTCACTGGGTTAAACAAAGAATTTTCTGGAAGAAATCATGTAATTATGAAATTAATTGGAAGGTTATGGAATAGGGTTTACAGTAAATATGAGAAAATAGATAAAACTAAGTGGGGACTATAACAGCACAAAACACTTGGCCTTGATCAATGGATTCCATGTACTCTAAGACTTCCTCTCATTCCTACACCAAGTTGCTAAAGTCAATAAGCCAAGAAAGAAAATGTAATTGTCTAAAATAGGTGGTATCTAAAAAATATCTGGATGTCTTCATTGGTACTCTCCATGTGTCTGTATATAATTAGGATATGTAATTAGAATGATAGTAATTTTACATAAAACTATGTATTTACAAAATATGTGTATTTTACATAAAACTAATTAAATTAGCTGAAGGTATTATAAAACAAACATTGTCTCATTCTCAACATTCATTAGTTTGTAGAGAGTTGAGGACTCCTGAGCTTTTTACTCTATCCATGGTAGCATGTCTTGTTGTCATGTTTAGGAAGTCATGTTAATGAGGCTTCTTTTTTTCCTTTTTAAAATTTAAATTAGAAACAATCTTGTTACATGTCAATCACAGTTCTATCTCCCTCCCCTCCTCCCCTTCCCCACAGCAACTCCCTATCCCATCCACTTTCTGCTCCTCAGGGAGGGTGAGGCCTTCCATGAGGGATTATCAAAGTCTGTCTTTATGAGTGTAGTTTCTGACATTATTAGGAGACACAATATCACAATAAACTTGTTCCCTTGGATATTATATTATATTATATTATATTCTTTCATTGCCCCGTTTTACAATGACCTCTGAGCTTTAGATGCAAGTGTTTTATTGTTAATGTATCCCTTGGAACTGGGATGCAGAATTATGCATTTTGATTGGTTTTGGTTTTCTGTAATGGTCTGTTGTATGGGAAAGAATCTTGCTGGGGAAGAGAATACTAATTGGTTACCAAATATGAAATGGTCATCCCTGAAAAGATATATATGTAATATTATACAAACTGATCAGGCTGTATTAATTTAATTATGGTTATATATATATATATATATATATATATATATATATATATGCATGTAACAAAAACTAATGAATAAAAAGAGGAAATGGATTTGAAAGAGATCAAAGAAAGGGGTGAGGGAGGACTTCAAGGGAGGAAGGGAAATGATATAATTATAATCTCAAGAATAAATAAATAAAATGGTTAAAAAAAAGTTTCTTTGCACCCCGTGGCACAGAACATCTGTTATGAAACCGAGGATTTAAGAATTGATAGCCCTTTAATTCCTGATTCTCTTGTTCCTCATTTAATAATGTTTTTTTTTTTTGTAGTAAAAGGCTAACACTGTGAGAATTCAGGGGATACTTTTTTCCTATTGTATAGAAGAAGAGATTTTTATAAACATGAAGTGGTAGATAATGAATGGGTGATGATAGATGTGGTGTCTTACTCTTATAATATCAACACTGGTGTGGTGTGGGCAGGTAGATCAGGAGTTCAACGTCAACTATGGCTGTAAAGTAAATTTAAGTCCAGACTGGGATAAATGAGGCCCTGTTTCAAACAAAACAAAACAGAATGAATGAATGGGTAGATGGGTGTACAAGAGAAGGTTGGAGGGCATGCTTGTATACAAGTTTTGCCACCCTATTATTTGTCTTTGGGGAGGAGTGGGAAGACATGCAGTTGGAAACAGACCTTTGTTATGTGATCTTTACAGGTGGATTCTAACACTAGCTACCAATGCATGGATCGGAATCTCAACAAAATCCCTGACAACATCCCTTCTTCAGTCAAGCATTTAGATCTGAGCTTCAACCCCCTGAAGACCTTAGGAAGCCATAGCTTCTTTAATTTTCCAGAACTCAAGTTGCTGGATTTATCCAGGTAATAAATGAGTTTTAAATGCTGCACAAGGTGAGATAGTTATTTTTCTATCATTTCATTCTTGGCCAAGAAAATTTATCTTATCTAACTCAACTTCTTGCATTGATTCATTCATTACAATGTATTACTTGCTGTATATCCTCCAACAAGCTACTTTTATCACTCGGTTTCAGTATGATGCACCACTAGATAAGATCACTTAAGGACAGTTCTAGGTTTATTTTAGCTTAAACTATTCCATTAGATGTTTGTGGGCCACATACTATATGTTGTTCCCTAAGCTACAGAACAAGCATTTATAGATACATACCTCATAGTCCTACTTATTAAGTAGGATTAATATGTTCTTCAATGAGTTAATAAGTTAAAATTTTGTCTCTGATTTTATACACATAGCACTGTTACAACACATGTTAATCAACTCTGAAGCTGTGGTTTATAACAGTGACTGACAAACTATGTACAAATAAAGGCAACTATTGGAAGAGGAGCTGTCTTATCATGTGTTGGGAGAGGATGGTGACATCAGTAGGTGAAGGAGATGCCTGAAATAGTGAAAGTGAAACAGAGTGTAGAGAATAAGAAAGACACTAAATTAGGAGAAAGATGCCAAAATTCAAGAAAAACATTTGCTATTGGCAAGAAAGTGTTGCTGAGATTTATTTTGTGACCTACCAATTTTAACCATGTTCTCTGTGTAACCATAGATTTAGAACTAGCTATTGGAGCCTAGTGAGCTCAACCATTTGATGAGCAGCTAAAACCAATGACTGTCTCTCCCCTAGATTCTAAAGTTTAATAGGGAGCAAAGGATTCCATGATCTCCTCGCTGATCCATGACTTTTAATTGGTAGGTTTAGTCTTGTGGAGGTCCAATGCAGGTAACCACAGTTGCTGTGAGATCAGGTTTGCAATGGCTGTGTCATGCCGAAAGATAACCTGTCTTCTCCCTGTCATCTGGCTCTCATCTTCTTTTTGCTCCCTCTTCCTCAATGCTTTCTGATCCTCAAAGCAGGTATTATAATTGTCTGTTCAGAGGTGAGCACAGAACCATCTTATGCTCCTTCCATCTAGAACATCTAAGAAAAATCTGTATTCTCCACTGTTTACTATAAGAGCAGTGACATTTGTTAATGGGTATAAATATCATTATTTAGACAAGAGTCTGGTGCCATGCTAATTTAGTTAAACCACATTAATAACAACCATACCTCCCACCCCATAGTTATGCTAACATTTCAACACTAGACACAAGTTGCCTGGCAAGTTCATGTTATAGTTCTAGGTAATTAGCTAGATGATACCAGTAATGACTTCTCTCTCCAAGCAGCCTCTATAGCACCTTCTTGCCGAAAGCTATTTGTCAGGAGGGAGGCTTCAGCTTTACATCCGTGAATTGTAATGAGAGGGGCATCCTTGAAATTTGAAGTAGATAAAGGGCCTTCATTGTTTTTTTTTTTTTTCAATGTTTGTAAAACTACAGAAATGCTTCACATGTTTTTATTCCAAAATGCCTTGATAAAGATTAAGATTATGGTATTAAAGGTCTTCTGCGAGAAGTCATTACTGCCAAAAATTTATCAAATACTTTATGCATTATAGTCTTTACTTGGGCATTAACAGAGTATTCCAAAGGAGGAGGGAAACACCTCTGTAGCATGAGGAAGAATGGAGCCCATGTTTCTTCCAACATTTATAGCTGTGTGACCTGATGCATGTAACTTTTACCTGAGTCTCAGTTATCACTCATATTAAATGGAAATGATAAAACTTCCTGCATGACCCCCGTTGAGGGCCCTACCCTGTCTGGGGAGTGGTGGGTGCATGGGGTGGGGGGTAGGTTGGGGGTGTGGGAGGGGGTGAGGGGAGGGAGAGGGAGAAGGGACTTACATGTGAAACAAGCTTGTTCCCTAACTTGAACTAATAAAAAAAAAAAGCAAAAAACTTCCTGCATGGTTAAATGTTATTATGCATTGAATGTAGTAAAATTATTTAGTGAGTTTTATAAGTTTAAAAATGCTGTTATAATCATTTCCTTAGATTTTATTTTTTAGTTTTTCCAGGGAGATTTGAAGTGAGCCAAGTTAGACTGGGGGATAGAAAAGAAGTAGAAAGAATAATTTCTTATCAATAAGAAGGGGATGTGATTTCTCACCAATGTCCTATATAATTGAACATTGATCTACAGTACAATTATGAGCTTGTCTCTCTCCTTGCTGTATATAGCATATCTTACATTATCTTGGAATAAAATTCATAATATTTCATTTGGTTTGTGAGTCTCTACTTTATCTGCAGACCCCCTCTCTTCACATCTTCATGTTAGCCTTCCTTAGTTCCCATTTCCCCCTACAGCCACAGAGACTATGTATTATGGATCCTCCTTTGGCATGCCTGATTCTTACATTGCCTTTTAGACCTGCTGATTGCTTTACTTTTATTCCTACTTATCATTAAAAATTCTGTTTAAATATCCACTGTTTGACTACCCAACCTGTCCACATCAGCCAGGCTAATCATCTCACTTTGGAGACAGTCATGCTCTATATGCTGTTCCTCTGGAGCAGTGGTTCTCAAGCTGTGGGTGATAACACCTTTGACAAACCTCTATCTCTAAAAATATTTACATTATGATTCAAAACAGTAGCAAACTTAGAGTTATGTAGTAGCAACAAAAATAATTTTATGGTTGGGGGGTGACCAAGGCATGAGGAACTGTATTAAAGTGTCATTAGAGAGGTGGAGAACCACTGCTGTAGAGAATCCTGACTAATATAGACAACATCAATGCTTGCTAAAAAAAAATCTGTTTAAATATTCTCAGAAAAGTCTGCTTTTGTCCTCTGAAGAGGGTCAATTCCTGTGATGTGAACATTCATAGCCAAATTTCCACTTCTTCCACAAAACTTACTCATGCTACCAATTGACATTTACCTGTGATAATGACAGATTTAAAATACCAGCTGTCATATATAAGTAACTTTTTGTAAATATTAATTCCATCCTTGACACTTACGTGTAATTATTTATGTCTTTGAAATTGACTTTCACTAGTCATTTATCATGACTTACAACTAACAACCATCCATATAGTCTGTACCCATTAGATGTACAATCACAGCTGTGTGGAAAGAAACACCTTAACTTAATCTAAGGTTATTACATACTCTGTCAAACAAACAGTCATTATGCACCCCAATTATTGATCTTGAATTGATTTACTTCTGATGGATTTGCTGCCCTTTCAGAATGTATTACAGTAGCCGGTATGAAAATAGGCTGAATCTGCAGAACTTCTTACCTACTGACTCCAGTGTCACATGCTTGGCTTTGTATGTTTGTCTCTTCACAATAACATGGTATATCACATCTCTTTTTATTGTGGCATTGCAGGAATTGTTATGATATTATAGTGCTTTATTAAGCAAAATTACATAATTGGTATCTCTTTTCCCCATAGGTGTGAAATTGAGACAATTGAAGACAAGGCATATCAGGGTCTACACCAGCTCACAACCTTGATACTGACAGGAAACCCTATCCAGAATTTATCCAAGGGAACTTTTTCTGGACTAGCAAATTTACAGAATCTGGTGGCTGTGGAGATAAAACTGGCTTCTCTGGACAGCCTACCTATTGGACACCTTGTAACTTTAAAGAAACTCAATGTGGCTCACAATCTTATACATTCCTTCAAGCTTCCTGAATATTTTTCCAATCTGACCAACCTAGAACACTTAGACCTTTCTAATAACTATATCCAAACAATTTACTACACAGATTTACAGACTTTACGTGAAAATCCCCAGCTCAATCTTTCTTTAGAGCTGTCTTTGAACCCAATTGACTTTATTCAACCTGGAGCCTTTCAAGGAATTAGGCTCCATGAACTGACTCTAAGAAGTAATTTTAATAGCACAAATGTAATGAAAACTTGCATTCATAACCTGGATGGTTTACAAGTGCATCGGCTGATCTTGGGAGAATTTAAAAATGAAAGGAATGTAGAAAGGTTTGACCGCTATGTCATAGAAGGACTGTGTAAGGTGACCATTGAGGAGTTCCGGTTCACATATGCAAATGAGTTTTCAGAAGATATCACTGATTTTGATTGCTTGGCAAATGTTTCTGCAATGTCTCTGGCAAATGTGTATCTAAAGCGCCTAGAAGACATTCCTAAATATTTCAAATGGCAAACCTTAGCAGTCATTAGATGTGAACTTAAGCAATTTCCACCTCTGGAACTCCCCTTTCTTAAAAGGTTGATTTTTATTACCAACAAAGGGGCTACCAGTTTTCCAGAAGTGAATCTGCCAAGCCTTACATTTCTAGATCTCAGTGGAAATGGTATGAGCTTTAGGGGTTGCTGTTCTTACACTGATTTGGGAGCAAGAAGCCTGAAACACTTAGACCTCAGCTTCAATGGTGTCATCAGCATGAGTGAAAACTTCATGGGTTTAGAACAGCTGGAATACTTGGATTTTCAGCATTCCACTTTAAAAAAGGCCACTGAATTTTCAATGTTCTTACCCCTTGAAAAACTGCTCTATCTTGACATCTCTTATACTAACACCAAAATTGATTTCAATGGCATATTTTTTGGCTTGACCAGTCTCAACACCTTAAAAATGGCTGGCAATTCTTTCAAAGACAACATCCTTTCAAATGTCTTTACAAATACTACAAACTTGACATTCCTGGATATTTCTAAATGCCAGTTACAACAAGTATCTTGGGGGGTGTTTGACACTCTCCATAGACTTGAGTTACTAAATATGAGTCACAACAATCTACTGCTTTTGGATCTATTCCATTATAAACAGCTGCATTCCCTCAAGACTCTTGATTGCAGTTTCAATCACATAGAGACCTCCAAAGGAATAATGCAACATTTCCCAAAGAGTCTAGCCTTCTTAAATCTTACTAATAATCCCTTTGCCTGTATATGTGAACATCAGAACTTCCTGCAGTGGGTCAAGGACCAGAGGTTGTTCTTAGTGAAGACTGAACAAATGACATGTGCAACACCTGTAGAGATGAAGGACTCCCTGGTGCTGGACTTTAGGAATGCCACCTGTTATGTGCAGAAGACCATCATCAGTGTGTCGGTGATCAGTGTGCTTGTGGTATCCACTATAGCATTTCTGGTCTACAAATTCTATTTCCATCTGATACTTATTGCTGGATGTAAAAAGTACAGCAGAGGAGAAAGCATCTATGATGCCTTTGTCATCTACTCCAGCCAGGATGAGGACTGGGTGAGAAATGAGTTGGTAAAGAATTTAGAAGAAGGAGTGCCCCCCTTTCAGCTGTGCCTCCACTACAGAGACTTTATTCCTGGTGTGGCCATCGCTGCCAACATCATCCAGGAAGGCTTCCACAAGAGCCGGAAGGTTATTGTTGTGGTGTCTAGACACTTTATTCAGAGTCGCTGGTGTATCTTTGAATATGAGATTGCTCAGACATGGCAGTTTCTGAGCAGCCACTCTGGCATTATCTTCATTGTCCTGGAGAAGGTGGAGAAGTCCCTGCTGAAGCAACAAGTGGAGCTGTATCGACTTCTCAGCAGGAACACCTACCTAGAGTGGGAGGACAATGCTCTGGGGAGGCACATCTTCTGGAGAAGGCTCAAAAAAGCTCTGTTGGATGGAAGAGCCTGGAATCCAGAGGGAGCAACAGAGGCAGAAAACAATCAACAAGAAACAACAACTTCCATCTGAGGAGGACAAAACATCTTGGTCTAATACTCATTCTGTTTACAAGTATTAAATATTACAGCTCACCATGGATTATGTTGTAGACAAGGGTCCCATGGTGCACAAGGTACCAAAAGGCTGGTAAACTAATGGACCTTACAAAGCAGAAAGTGATAATATTATGCTGAAACTCCATGCCTTCCAGGGGTGCTCTTTCACCAACTCAGGCAAAGAATCATAACCAAGAAAGTCAGCTCCTACTGTATCAAGCTGAAGGAAAAGAGGCTAAGCCCCAGTGAGACCAAAAAGGAGCATTAGTTATCCCTTGGCCTTTTGAGTCTATATAATATATCATGTACTATGTTTCAACTACCAACTGAACTGAATGTTTATTTACTTTCCCTTCTTACTACTTAATGCAATTTAAATTCCACTGGCTCTCTTTGTGTGTTTGATTCCAAGTTCATGTTCCATTATATGTCATTTTCTTTTTTACCTATTTCTTTAGGAAACCTGATTAATACATGCTCATGGACATCCTGGCCAATACTTAGTATGCTGTATTTATTAAATAAAAATTCCTAATATACTTTTATTTTTATAAATTCAGTTATCATTTTTCATGCCTTCTTTATATACTCATATCATAAATAAGGCTGTTAGAGATATGCTAGGAACGCCCATATTCAACTAACATTTTTCAAGCAAGTGTGTAAAGTATACTCTGTCACCTTGTCACTGAGTGTCATTCTTAAATTATTACTTACTAAGTTATGGATGTCACAGAGACAGTGTTAAAAATAATTTGGTTGATAGGATATTTTTAATCAGGGGAGTAAAGTAGAAAGGAATGCATGTACAGAAATCAGATAACTTGGTCATTTCTTCTTGATGATTCCAGATATTCACATAGCTGAGTGGCAACACAAGATGTGCTACAATTAATGTTCCTTTTCAGCAAGGATATTGTTCATTGGTCTGGGGTCCCTTCAGGGAGTCATGGAGATGTGAGGTCCTTTCCTTTCATGCTTCCCATTGCTGGACATGCTTTGTGAAATGGTGTGGACATTGGGAGTACACTTTTCTGCTTCTTGTCAGGTATCACAATATCCTGATGACATTTAGGGAGGGGAGATTTTATCATTAAGAAAACAGGGCATTTAAGAGATTCTCATAAAAGTGCATTTTAATGGCACATTCCAAGAGAGAACAGTGAAGATATTCTTAGGAGACTGCAACATTAAAAACACAATGAGCTTTCACCTTATTCCGGTCAGCATGACCACTTCATATAAAGGCATTGTGTGTGTGTGTGTGTGTGTGTGGTGTGTTTCTGTGGTTTCCATGTGTATGTGTGCTTTCACATAGCACTTCTAAAATGTTGGTTGGCTTAAACAATTATTGAGCCATTAAAAACTTTAGGTTTCTTGATAAAGGAAATGAAAATAGAACTGTTGTAAGATCTAGCAATAAAGATTTCAAAAACAAACAAACAAACAACTCATTTGGATTCCTTTGTTCATCATCACAGTATTTGTAATAGTCAAATTATAGAGACAACCCAAATGATCATTGGCAGGTTAATCCATAGAGGTAGTATGCTATATATTTGCAATGGAGTGTAATTTGACCTTGGAAAAGGAGGAATTTTTTTTTATTTGTGACTACATGGATAGAAATGGAGTTTCTTTATTCTAAGTGAAGTAAGTTAGGGACAAAAGGAACTGGAATTCTTGGAATTTCTAATGAGCTGAACAAGGATAGGAAGAAATGATAAAACAATATAAGAGGGAGACGAAAGAAAGCCAAACCTAGGATTAGCTCTGTATGAATTATTTTAAATAATTTTGCTTGAAAAAGACTCAAATGGTGGTATGTGGTTATTAATATTAATTAGGATGCCTTAAATTTTTGTAGTTCCTGTTAACGTGAAACATAGCCATGCAATTATTAGTCTCTTGCTAGTCAGATGAGGTAGCAGATCAAGAATTAATCTCTCCGTTTTCCTCATATAAAACCTGAAGTTCAATGCAGTAAAGGTCTTGTCAATCAGTTAGATAGCACACAAGAGGCAAGGCCCCAGCCTGGTTCTCCTCCCCGCTCAGGGAAAGTACTGTGTACTCTAGCTCATTGCTTCCTGCTTCAAGCTGGCAAAACAAGAAGTGAAACCCCGCAGTTCTCTATGTGGTTAGTGCCAGTCAGGGTTTTTCAACTTAAACCATGAATCATTAAGCAAATACATATGCATGCATGCATTATGCATGGAGTGGTTTATTTATAACATCTCTTTCCATAAAGAGCTTGGGGGAGCTTCTAACAAAGTATACATGAGCAGTAAGGTAAACCAGAAGTAGGAAATATGGATAGAAGAAAGAAATGAAAGACATGGGTAGTTTGGGCAGTTTATACCAAGTGTTATTCCAGAGAGATCTGGAATTTTGGGAAGTATGACTTCCTGAAATCGTTTTCAGAGTTTACCAGCTGTGTGATTTGGGCTTCACTTGTCTGAGAGCTAGGAACTTTATAAATAATATGAATATCAGTATATTAATTTTAGGTCATTGCAAAATAAATATATATATTTAATATAAGGGATTTACTCAGGGGTATTCAGAGAGAAGCACTGAGTGGTCTTCTCAATGACAACATTTTGATCACAGTTGTTTTCACAGCTTGCAGGAGCATAGTTTTTCCTGTGACTAAAGTAGATAGTTTCTTTTTTACTTGGCTTCTGCTAATATGTGTTACCTGACTCTAGCTTCCTCTTAGACTCTACAGCCCTTTGAGAAATCATTAGTGGGTTCCTGGAAAGTCATGACTGGACTTTTGAGAGTCCAGAGAAGTGTTCCTGTGTATTTTTGTGGGACTGAGGGCCACATCTTACCACTACCTTGGCTTCTCTGATGTTGGGCACTATGCCTGACAAAGCAGACAAAAAATGCCTGTTCATGTGAAGAACAAGTGGATCATGAATGCATTTTCTCTGTGTGTGATGTACCTTGTCCTCTGTACCTCCCAGTTAAGACCCTAAAGTCCTATAGACCTTAGCTGTAGATTTCGTTTTCACAGCTTTGAAATTTTCTATCTGTCACTTGAATGGGTATTCTTATTTGTTTGCTTGACAAAATTTGGTTTTCCAAAATTTTAAAGGTCGGAGAAGAGGAGGTCTCTAACAATAGTTTTCTCTCTTCGATACTTTAAAGTCCTGTTCTCCTAATTCATGTATGATATCTGAGTAAAATTCTCATGCCATACCAATTTAATGAATACTCCCAATATTGCATTATGGACTTAAGGCTTTAAAATTTTTATTAACATATCCAAAGCACACAAGGCATTAAATGGCAGAATTAGAAATCCAACTGACTATATCAAATGGTTTCTCTATGTTTCCTTTCTGTTTCGGGGCCAGATTTGAGTGCTACTATTCCCTGTTTTATTTACTTGTGATATACTGTATTCAGAATGCAAAAGTAGAACCTGGTTATAAAGTTTGTATCAGAGGATAAGTGGTAGGCTAAAAGAGGCACGAAAACGGGAGCTGGGGAATATGAAGGCAGTATTTGAAGTTAACAATTTCCTCTGATAACTATGATCTGTCTCCACAATTCAGTTCACTTTTCTGATAGAATAAACTTCTTTCCATAAAGCTTCTACTTATGCTAATGCATCCATCCAAACAACCAGGCTAATAGGTCCAGCTGTTTCTGTCTTTATTGCAATTTCCAACATTCTTCACTTGGGGATTTCTTCTGTCACATGGTTTTTTAATTGGGCATTCTTTCAAACATTCATTAAATGGCTAAGACTTCTCACTAGAAATGAACTCAATGAAATCATTAAGCTGAAAGAGTCTGAGGACACTGAGTTTTGCATTGCACCTTGATATGGAATTTAAGTTGGACTGTCTGAAGGAGGAAAATATGTCCATTTGATAGAGTTTCCTATTTGCATCATTCTTTTCCTTCTTTTAATTTTATCAAACTAAAGGATTTAAAACTTTTCAACTTAGTGCCTATAAAGCAGGCAATCTATTTTGCAGATGCACTGAAAACTAAGTGATTAGAGAGTTTGATTGATATATTCCCAACATTATCTATTCTAGTTATTACTAAAGAAGGAGATTGCAAAGTTTTAAATGTTAAGCTAAAATGGCTTCTTTCACTTAACAGTTCTAGCAAATGCAAAGAGTTGGTCTAGCTTTGAATCATGCTTGTGTATATCTTCACAAGGGAATTTAGAATAGGTTTCATATTCCACTTCATTTTGCTTGCCTAGGCATTGAGGGTCATTGTCTACTAATTGTACAGTAGGGCTACTTATGAAGAAAAAAGAAATTTTTCTGGCAAGACTCAGAACAGATCTTAATTTAGCTTATTAAATGAGCATGTGCAAGAATGAGAGATATCACAAGCTTGGGATGATGTTGATTTAGTGGCCTGGGATCCTGGAGGTCCCCTAAAACAGGAGATCTCATATATATTGTCTCAGCCAGTGTGTTGTCTCCCAGACAGAATGGAGAAACAGGGGAAGGAGGGTCATTTCTCTGAAAGACAAAGAATTAAAAGCCCCCTTTTCTATAATTTATGTCAGACAAAGGCCAAATATTGCTCATTTCTAAGGAACCTAGTGCCCTGAGAATGTCCTTCATGATGGAAAGTGAGATGTAATTCTGGTTCTCCACTTATGTAGGTGATATCTTGAAAATCCCCCAAGGAGCCTAGCAACAAGAGTTCCAGCACATAAAATGTGTAATAGCATCTTGGGAGAGTTCACTTGGTCAAAATGCAAAAATGTCCAGAGTGAATGTGCAGCTTGCCCTGTGGTCACACCGCTTATAGTGTATTAATAATCATAATAACAAATTCTATCTGCCAAATATTTGATATGTACCTAGGACAGTTTTAGTTTAATTGCATAATTGGCCTTCTAATACAGCTCTTACTAACACTGTCATTTCACATACAATGTAACTGAGAGCAAAGAATGAACTGTCCAATTGGAAGGGGCACAATCCAAGTTGGCCTGATTTCCAGGGCTGTCAATTTTCTACCACACAGTACCCTGCTGCAGTGTTCTGGTCTTTTTGCTTGGGATTGTTAGAGCAGTAATGAGAGAATCATTTGGACAAGGTCAGCAACTCCCATACCATCTAGAAATTGAAGGTTTTAAAGAATGTGTGACTTTCCTTGATTTCTATGGAAATGAAGATGGTCCCTCCTGTGACAGTGCTAAGTGATGAGTTTGAGAGTAAATGTGCTTTTTGGCACAAATTGTCCTGTTCTAATAGTGTTGATTATAATTATAAAATAATGTGTTTCTGAAAGGCTGCAAGCAATTCTGGGAATGACAATAAGGGTTTAGAAACAACGTGGTATTTATGTGAGAAGTGTTTTGTTGAAAATTAAACCTGTGTTTAGGAAAAAAGGATTGTGTTGTGTTATCTGCGCCTAAGAAACTATCACACTGTGTAATTAAATCAAATTCTGTCAGTTTCCAATTTGAGTTTCTGTCTTACTTGAACAATATTATGTCACCTACAACAAACAAGACATGACTAACTGGAAACAACCCAGCAACACTCTTTATTCAAAACTGATCCTTT